CCGCCCCCCATCCCTTAAGGCTCATGGAAACGGGCTGACCTCTTTCTCAGACAGGGGCGTGGAGGCTGAGTTCTGTCAACGCGGACTTTGGTGTCTGTCCCAGTTACCCGCCAGTTGTGATCGTACCGGCGAGGGTGGACGATGGAGCCCTGCAGAAGAGCGCCCGGTTCCGTCAGGGGAGGCGATTCCCTGTCCTCAGCTACTATCACAAAAAAAATGGGACGGTGGGTACAGCTCCTTTCTCATTCTGCCCCTCTCTCTTGCTGCATCTGTTTCCTGTGCACAAGGCATTGATGGTTTTCCTCGATCCTGCAGTGATCTTGCTTCCAATTGTAGGTTGTAGTGCTTCAAAAGCAGTACGAACATTGCAGATCAGAATGAAAAAACAGAAAGAGGCAGAGAGGGCAACATCTGAAAGTCTATTGGGTACACAGTCAAACTGTAGAGCTGGAGCTAGACATCATGCTGCAATTCTGATCTGCCAAGGGGGGGTGTCTATTTTTCAAACTAGGCCCCCCTAAAGCTGGATAACTTTGCAAAAATAACAGAACAGCAGAGAATGTACATGACTACTTTCATAAACTCACTTTCAGCACAAAGATTTTCAGGGAAGGAAATTAAGCAAAATGACAGATGTCCGTAATGTATACAGAATTATTTCTTTTATGTCATGATGTGAATTATTCACTATGGATTCCTCTGAATTGGTATTAGCTCTATGGGCCAAAACCAGGTTTCTTTCGTTAGACGTAGCCTGATTTCTTTTTAGAGTTCTTATATTGAGTATCTTCTCTTGTTGGATCTTCTCCCTGTAGCATAGTCTTTTAGGCATGGTTATTATATGTATCCCTCATTTAGTCAGAGGACTGGTGAATCACACGGAAATGAGACTTTATTTAACAATAGCCTTACGTGGAAAGTTAGTATACAGTGTAAGCTGTTTCTCTCCAGATGTACATCCACAAAACTTCCAGAACGACAGCTCCCTGTTTCACAATGGTTCCCACCTTCTTTTCCAGTCCTGGTTTCCATTGGGTTATGCTTTTCTTTCAAAAAGAAAAGAAACTTTGGGGCGTGTGTGAGTGGACACACATGTAGCGCCAGTCAGCACCAGTGTGGTGCAACAGTACAGATGTTGGATGGTGACTGAGGAGATCCAGGCTCGCATCCATCTTCAGCCACAGAAACGTCCTGAGGGACTTTGGGCTACTCCCCATAGCTCAGGCCAGCCTACCTCACACAGTGGTGGCTGTGGGGGAAAATAGGAAGAGGAAGTGCTGTGTTCCCAAGTGAAAGGCAGGAGAAGAATCCATAAATTAACGAAGCCCTTAAAGAAGCCGAGAAGGGACATGCTTTGTTCAAAGAATTGCAGACGAGTGCTACATTCACACTGCCAAACAGTCAGAAGCGCCTTTATGCCTTCAGATTTGAAGCATTACACAGCTCTGTGGTTAAATATATGCTTTTTCCTTTTCCTTTCCCTGTTTTTACCCTGTCCAACTATCAACCCGCTCTATCTTCTCTCTCCCCCACAAATTCTTTTTGAATGCCTTTTCCTCCCCAGGTAGCTCTTCACTCTAGTGCGGTGTTTCTCAACCTTGGCAGGTGGAAGATGTGTGGACTTCAACTCCCAGAATTCCCCAGCCAACTCCCAGAATTCCCCAGCCAACTTCTGGGAGTTGAAGTCCACACATCTTCCACGTGCCAAGGTTGAGAAACACTGCTTTAGTGAATACCAGTAGCCTTCCATTTCAGCACTAATGACACCAGTCTTCTCCAACCTGGAGCCCTGGAGATGTTTAGAAACTCCCAGCATTCATAGCTTCCAACACTTCTGGAGGGCACCAGAT